GGCAAAAGGGGGGAAGTTGGCCTGTACATTGCAGAGTCACTTGTTTGCACAGAACTGCTTAATGCCTCAAATGATGTAGTGGAAGTTTTAGCAGTAAAGATCGAGAACCAAAACCTAGTCATTGTGGTAGTCTACAAGCCTCAGGATGCAACATCCCAGCAATTCCAGGAACAGCTGTTAAAAATTGACCACTGTCTGGAAAATCTGCCAGCTCCTGCACCCAACATCTTGCTCCTGGGAAATTTCAACTTACGGCACCTAAAATGGAGGAATATAGCAAATAATGTTGTTGCAGTAATAACACCAGGAGGCAGCTCTGATGAAAACTCGCACTCACACGAGCTTTTAAATCTCTGCACAAAATTCAATTTAAACCAGCAAATAATAGAGCCTACTAGACTGGAGAATACACTAGACCTCATCTTCACTAGCAATGATGATCTGATACGAAATGTCACCATATCAAAAACAATATACTCAGATCACAACATAATTGAGGTTCAGACATGTATGTGTGGAGCCCCAGACCGACATAATGAGATTAGTCACGAGGGAGCATTCACCAAATTCAACTTCAATAACAAAAACATAAAGTGGGACCAAGTAAACAAAGTCCTAACCGATATAAGCTGGGAAGATATACTAAGCAACACAGACCCCAACTTATGCCTAGAGCAGATTAACTCAGTGGCACTCGATGTATGCACAAGGCGTATTTCTCTAAGAAAAAGGAGCAGAAGATGTAAAATAGAAAGAGACAGGCGCTCCCTTTACAGGCGACGGAAAAGAATAACAGAGCGGCTAAAAGAGGTCAATATATCTGAAATGCGTAGGGAGACACTGGTCAGAGAAATAGCAAGCATCGAACTCAAGCTAAAGGAATCTTATAGGAGTCAGGAATCGCGGGAAGAACTAAAAGCCATAAATGAAATCGAAAGAAACCCAAAGTATTTCTTCTCCTATGCCAAATCAAAGTCGAGAACAACATCCAGTATTGGGCCCCTACTTAAACAAGATGGGTCCTACACAGATGACAGCAAGGAAATGAGTGAGGTACTCAAGTCCCAATATGACTCAGTTTTTAGCAAGCCGCTAACCAGACTGAGAGTCGAAGATCAAAATGAATTTTTTATGAGAGAGCCACAGAATTTGGTTAACACAAGCCTATCTGATGTTATCCTGACGCCAAATGACATGCCCATGCACTCTGCCCCAGGGCCAGACTCATGGAACTCCGTGTTCATCAAGAACTGCAAGAAGCCCCTATCATGAGCTTTTACCATCCTATGGAGAGGGAGCATGGACACGGGGGTCGTCCCACAGTTACTAAAAACAACAGACATAGCCCCACTCCACAAAGGGGGCAGTAAAACAACAGCAAAGAACTACAGACCGATAGCATTAACATCCCATATCATAAAAATCTTTGAAAGGGTCCTAAGAAGCAAGATCACCACCCATCTAGAAACCCATCAATTGCACAACCCAGGGCAACATGGGTTTAGAACAGGTCGCTCCTGTCTGTCTCAACTATTGGATCACTACGACAAGGTCCTAGATGCACTAGAAGACAAAAAGAATGCAGATGTAATATATACAGACTTTGCAAAAGCCTTCGACAAGTGTGACCATGGCGTAATAGCGCACAAAATGCGTGCTAAAGGAATAAGAGGAAAAGTCGGTCGATGGATCTATAATTTCCTCACTAACAGAACACAGAGAGTAGTAGTCAACAGAGTAAAGTCCGAGGCAGCTACGGTGAAAAGCTCTGTTCCACAAGGCACAGTACTCGCTCCCATCTTGTTCCTCATCCTCATATCTGACATAGACAAGGATGTCAGCCACAGCACCGTGTCTTCCTTTGCAGATGACACCCAAATCTGCATTACAGTGTCTTCCATTGCAGATGCTGCAAGGTTCCAGGCGGACATCAACCAAATCTTTCAGTGGGCTGCAGAAAACAATATGAAGTTCAACGATGAGAAATTTCAATTACTCAGATATGGTAAACATGAGGAAATTAAATCTTCATCAGAGTACAAAACAAATTCTGGCCACAAAATAGAGCGAAACACCAACGTCAAAGACCTGGGAGTGATCATGTCAGAGGATCTCACCTTCAAGGACCATAACATTGTATCAATCGCATCTGCTAGAAAAATGACAGGATGGATAATGAGAACCTTCAAAACTAGGGAGGCCAAGCCCATGATGACACTCTTCAGGTCACTTGTTCTATCTAGGCTGGAATATTTCTGCACACTAACAGCACCTTTCAAGGCAGGTGAAATTGCTGACCTAGAAAATGTACAGAGAGCCTTCACGGCACGCATAACGGAGATAAAACACCTCAATTACTGGGAGCACTTGAGGTTCCTGAATCTGTATTCCCTGGAATGCAGGTGGGAGAGTTACATGATTATATACACCTGGAAAATCCTAGAGGGACTAGTACCGAACTTGCACACGAAAATCACTCACTACGAAAGCAAAAGACTTGGCAGACGATGCAACATCCCCCCAATGAAAAGCAGGGGTGTCACTAGCACGTTAAGAGACCATACAATAAGTGTCAGGGGCCCGAGACTGTTCAACTGCCTCCCAGCATACATAAGGGGGATTACCAACAGACCCTTGGCAGTCTTCAAGCTTGCACTGGACAAACATCTAAAGTCGGTTCCTGACCAGCCAAGCTGTGGCTCGTACGTTGGTTTGCGTGCAGCCAGCAGTAACAGCCTGGTTGATCAGGCTCTGATCCACCAGGAGGCCTGGTCACAGACCGGGCCGTGGGGGCGTTGACCCCCGGAACTCTCTCCAGGTAAACTCCAGGTAATATATAATTAAAGGCCTCCATTTTCATTTTAACCTGGTATCCCAAACTTACCTACTACTCCCTCCACAACAGTTTTACCCATTTTAGTATTCTCTTGCTTGGTTCAAAACTCGCACACACTCAACATCTCCCAAAATCTCTCTCTCTCTCTCTACACCTCTCTTCTCCAGGTGTATAAACACTTGCTATAATCCACTTTTAACATCCCACCCTTACTTTACTCCACATAATCCTAGAATTTATACATTTATATTCTCTCTTTTTCCTGCTGTTACATTATTTCCTGCCATAACACCATTGCTACTCTTTCCTTAGCTCTTTTCCTGCCATAATGTTATTGCTACTCCTTCCTTAGCTCTAACTGTTTGAAAACCCTAGCCTAATCCCATTTATTTCCCCCCACTGAAACTCTCCTACCCCTTTCCACTTTGTTTTGCATATAGCCATGACATCCAGCTTCTTCTTCTTCTTACTATTATTATTAAAACTAAGTGCTAAACCCACCAAGGTCATACAGTGCTGCCCTATGGGCTTAGCACTTCCCCTTGATTTTGTTTTTCGACAAACCGGCCGTATCCCACCAAAGCAGGGTGGCCCAAAAAGAAAAACGAAAGTTTCTCTTTTTAAATTTAGTAATTTATACAAGAGAAGGGGTTACTAGCCCCTTGCCCCCTGCATTTTAGTCGCCTCTTACAACACGCATGGCTTACATAAGAACATAAGAAAGAAAGAACACTGCAACAGGCCTACTGACCCATGCGGAGCAGGTCCATGTCCCTCCCTCCCCCCGGATTAGCCCAATGACCCACCCAGTCTGGTCACCTCCACTCAAGGATGGAGCATGGCATCAGACACAGCAGCACAAGCTAATCAGGCCCAACTCACACCCACCCACACCCACCCACACCCACTCATGTATTTATCTAACCTATTTTTAAAACTACACAACGTTTTAGCCTGAATAACTGTACTCGGGAGTTTGTTCCACTCATCCACGACTCTATTACCAAACCAGTGCTTTACTATATCCTTCCTGAATCTGAATTTTTCCAACTTGAAACCATTGCTGCGAGTCCTGTCTTGGCTGGAAATTTTCAGCACGCTATTTACATCCCCTTTATTTATTCCTGTTTTTCATTTATACGCCTCAATCATATCCCCCCTAATTCTATGCCTTTCGAGAGAGTGCAGATTCAGGGCCCTCAGTCTATCCTCATAGGGAAGATTTCTGATACATGGGACCATCTTTGTCATCCTCCTCTGTACGTTTTCCAGAGCATTTATATCCATTCTGTAATACGGTGACCAGAACTGAGCAGCCTAGTCTAAATGAGGCCTAACCAAGGATATATAGAGTTGAAGAACAACTCTAAGAATTCTGTTCCATTTCCCCATGGAGATAAGACGAAATAAACAAGAACAAGAACTAGAAAGAAAATAGCAGAAAATCCAGAGGGGTGTGTGTATATATATATATGCTTGTATATGTATGTGTAGTGTGACCTAAGTGTAAGTAAAAGTAGCAAGACTTACCCGAAATCTTGCATGTTTATGAGACAGAAAAAAGGACACCAGCAATCCTACCATCATGTAAAACAATTACAGGCTTTTGTTTTACACTCACTTGGCAGGACGGTAGTACCTCCCTGGGCGGTTGCTGTTTACCAACCTACTACGTATAACTTCCCCTTGATTACAATAAATAAAATAAATGTGCCTTGATGGGCTATTGTATTGTAAACAAGGCAACATTTAAAGGGATTCAGGAAAACCAATTAGCCGCCAGACTTGAGGCTTGGAGATGGGAAGTACAGGTGTTTGCACTGAAGGAGGGGTGAAGATGTTGCAGTTCAAAGGGTCATTTGAATTTTAATGTTTTTTAATTTTGGCAAGGTAGCTATTGAATGTATGATTGTAAATGCGTTTTCTGGGTCATCGTACCTTGGTGGGAGACAATCGGTGTCTTAAAAAGACTGTATACACGTATAGTTCATAAATACTGCCGCAGCTTCCGTTGTTAGTGTTGTGGTGCTCGTCACTCCACCTGATGAGAATGGGGTCATCTTAGGGTGTCAGGTGTGGAGGTGCTGCCTTCTTGGATAGAAGCAGTAATTAACTTAAAATTTAGTGTTTCATATGCTGTACTTAATTATAAATTTACTTTCAGGCTGAAGCTCCAGTCAATCGTGAAGGTTATCCATTGCGACCAGAGCTTATAGAATCTCTAATGTATCTATATCAGGCTACCAAGGATGATACATTTCTTGAGATGGGTGCTGATATTCTGACAAGTATACAACATACTGCTAAAACTGAGTGTGGTTATGCTACAGTAAGAAGGCAATTTAATATGTATATTATTTCTGTTAAACTTATTAAGTGACTGTTAATTGGTAATATAACATTAACCCCTTCACTGTCCAAATGCCCAGAGTTAACCCTTTCACTGTCCAAATGCCCAGAGTTAACCCTTTCGCTGTCCAGACCCCACCATTTCTTCTGAAATGGTAGAATGCTTTTCTGGAGATAATGACACCAAAAGTATGAAATTTTGTAGAAAATTTACAGAATTATGAAGGCACAATGTTTGTGATCTGGGTGCAATTTGTGCATTGGCAGTTTTGCCCACTTTGAGTCCAATTTTAACCCTTTCAAGGTTCACATCCCCTGTCAGAAAATTGCTCTCAGGGTCCAAGAATTTGAAAACAAAAAAAATTCTATTAGATTAAAAGAGTATATTTTAGTAAAATAAAGGTTGGATGTGAAAAGTGGGATATAGTAAGTGTTTATGCACCTGGAGAAGAAAGAAGAGAGAAGTGTAGAGGAAAGAGAGAGATTTTGGGAAATGTTGAGTGAGTGCATGGGGAGTTTTGAGCCAAGTGAGAGAATACTTGTGGTTGTGGATCTCAATACTAAAGTGGGTAAAAATGTTGTAGAAGGAGTACAGTGGAACCTTGGTTTTCATGATTAATCCGTTCCAGAGAGTCTGACAAAACCCAGAAATCACGAAACCCAAAATAATTTTCCTTATAAGAAATAATGTAAATTCAATTAATCCGTTTCAGGCACCCAAAAGTTATAAAAAAAATGCATTTTATAGAGAATAACTATAGTTTTACATATAAAAAAATGAGAAATAAATATAAAGCACTAATGAAATGGATAAATGAACATTTAAATCATTTTTACCTTTATTGAAGAATCTTGATGGCATATGGAGGGAGGAGAGTTTATTGTTTGGAGACAGGACAGAATGCTTAAATATAATGCTAATATCAACTCTTTGGCTTATTTATCTATCACATTTTATTTAATATGACTTAACATAGAAACATGATATAAGCAATATAAACAATATAAAAAACATAGAAACATGGTATATACTCTAGAATGAATAAAAACAGTTGTCCCTCGATAATCGTAAGGCTCGATACTCGTAATTTTCGAAAATCGTAACATTTTCGTCAAAACAATGGCTTGCGAATCATCGTTTGACTCGCAAATAGTCATTCGTCTGGGATGTGTACACACAGCCCCGAGCCACCTCTCACTCCATTCCCAGCCAGTGTGCCATTGTTTATCAGTGAGTGAGGATGATCCCACGAGTTCATACAATACTTTTCATAATATTCCATTCGTTTTAGTGCTTGAAACTGCTAAATAAGTCACCATGGCTCCAAAGCAAGCTTCTAGTGCCAGCCTTTTGGTAAAGAATGTGAGAAACACATATAATTTAAAAAAAAGTTTGTAGAAAAATACAAAGGTGGTGGTAGTAGAGTGGAAGCAGTTGTGATAGTGGTAGAGGGTGGTACTGGTTGTAATGGTGGTAGAGGGTGCCTTTTTCAGTGATTCAGCAATTCTACTAACTCCTCCAATGTTGTTGGAGTTATATAGGGCTACAGAAAGCACCGCCGCCTCATTATGAACGGCTTACTCTCAGTGGCCCTTATACACCCAACAGCAACACAACACCTCTCATGACATATATAATGCCTTATTTTATTCATTCTAGAGTATATTCCATGCTTCTATGTTATTAATATTGTTTATTATGTCATATTAGTTGAATTGTGATAGATAAATAAGTCATAGAGTTGATATTAGTGTTATATTCTCCAACAATAAACTCACCATTCCTCCCTTACACAAACAAGTCTTCAATAGGGGTAAGTGTGATGTTAAATAAGAACATAATTTAAGAAAGGAGAAACACTGCAACAGGCTTGCTGGCCCATACTAGGCAGGTCCTTCACAAATCCAACTCACTAACAGAACAAATGCTACCTAAGCAATAAGCTCAGGTGCAAGTCCGACTCAAATCCAACCCCTCTCACTCATGTATTTATCCAACCTAAATTTGAAACTACCCAAGCCATAGCTTTTAGAACATAAGAAAGAAGGAACACTGCAATAGGCCTGTTGGCCCATACTAGGCAGGTCCTTCACAAATCCAACCCACTAACAGCATAACTGCTACCCAAGCAATAAACTTTGATAAACCTATTTACTCACGTGCAAGCGCGATTCAAATCCAACCCCTCTCACTCATGTATTTATCCAACCTAAATTTGAAACTACCCAATGTTTTAGCTTTGATCACCCTACTAGGCAGACTGTTCCACTCATCAAGTACCCCTATTACCAATGTTCATTTATACATTTTATTAGTGCTTTACATTTATTTGGCATTCTTTTCTGCATGTAAATCTATATTTAAGCTAGGGAAGTGACCCCTGAAGTGACCTAGAGTCCTTATGGAGGGGGATTCCCCTTCCAAACAATAATCTCTCTTCCCTCTCTCCTCCTCCCTGTCTTCCATTCATCAACAACAGCCTTCAATAAAGGTAACTGTCATGTTGAATGTTCATTCTTTTGTGCATGTAAATCTATCTTTAAGGTAAAAAAGAAAATTGTTGTTGATACTTCTGGGTGTCTGGAACGAATTAATTGGATTTACATTATTTCTAATGGGGAAAATGGATTAAAAAAGCGTCAATTTCGATAATAGTCACACTTCCAGGAACGGATTAATTACGAAAAACGAGGGACCACTGTATGTCATTATATGGCAAGCAGTCGCAATCACTCCCGAGGTAAAGTAATTATCCCTCTGACCATAGCTTCCCATGCTTCCCCTTCTGAGGTATAAGAGAAAACAGTTTTGGAGAGGCTAACTACGCTAGATCACTAGTGCAGTAAGAAAAACGCTGAAACAAATGTGATTTTCTCGGAAAAAAAAATGCCAAAGAGGACCTACATTACACAGGAGGAAAAGGCACTGCCAGGACACAAGCCTATGAAAGACAGGCTTACCAAAGCCCCAGAGACAGCTTTGGTACCTGAAGTCTTTGTGGAGGAGGATTCCCCTACCAAAAAATAATCGGTCTTCCCTCTCTCCTCCTCTCCTGTCTTCCATAAGCCAAGAAGAGTCTTCAATAAAGTTATGTAATAGTGATTCAAATATATATCTAATACTGTTGCCTCCACACTTACAACTACAGTATACAGGTCTCCCTCAATATTCGTGAGGGTTAGGGGATCAAGAGCCTCGCGAATGTTTGGTGCCCCAGTATATTGTAGGGAAATATAATACAATACTGCTTCCTTAACTTGTTGAACCATGAACAATCATAAAGTACATGAAAACATCGTAAATTGTACTAAATACATACATGTTATGGTTTAATAACATACATGTATATGTTATTAAATACCACTGCCTCCACCACTTCCTCAACCACTGCGAGTCCCTACTACCCTCCCTCCGACCCCAGCAACTGGCAGCCAGCCCGCCCACCAGTGTGGTGTTTTGTTTGTTCATTATTTGCTATTAAAAACAGTATAAATAATGTAAATCCATTCATGACTGCATATTGGAATGGCTATTCGGACAGGTATTGGACAGTGACATCATGTGTTTACTCTTGAACACAGCAAAGAATAAGACATTTCTGCTACTGCTAATAATAACATTAGTAATAATAATAATAATAATAATAAATGCGATAGAATTGAAGAAGAAAATTGTACAAAAATACGAGGGAGTGGTTGACACATCGTCAGTGTGGCTTTATTTATGCTGGAGTGAGCATTAGTCTCCGTGCTCTTCCAAACATTTCACAATAATTCATTGTGTTTGGTGCTTGTAGATTGAGTGCAACTGGAGTGGTAGAGGCAGTGGTTGAGGAAGCGGTTGAGGCAGCAGTTGAGGCAGTGGGTGAGGCAGCGGTTGAGGCAGCCTCACCCATTGCCTCAACCACTGCCTCACCCACTGCCTCAACCACTGCCTCACCCACTGCCTCAACCGCTGCCTCATCCACTGCCTCAACCACTGCCTCACCCACTGCCTCACCCATTGCCTCACCCACTGCCTCACCCACTGCCTCACCCACTGCCTCACCCACTGCCTCACCCACTGCCTTACCCACTGCCTCAACCACTGCCTCAACCCCTGCCTCTACCACTGCCTCAACTGCTGCCTCACCCACTGCCTCACCCACTGCCTCACCCACTGCCTCATCCACTGCCTCAACTGCTGCCTCAACTGCTTCCTCAACCACTGCCTCTACCACTCCAGTCGCACTCAATCTACAAGCACCAAACACGGTGAATTATTGTGAAATGTTTGGAAGAGCAGGGAGACTAATGCTCATTCCAGCATAAACAAAGCCACACTGACGATGTGTCAACCACTCCCTCGTATTTTTGTACAATTTCCTTCTTCAATTCTATCGTATTTATTATTATTATTATTATTATTATTGTTATTACTAATGTTATTATTAGCAGTAGCAGAAATGTTTGATTCTCTGCTGTGTTCAAGAGTAAACACATGATGTCACCGTCCAATACCTGTCCGAATAGCCATTCCAATATGCAGTCATGAATGGGTTTACATTATTTATACTGTAGTTTAATAGCAAATAATGAACAAACAAAACACTCACCACACTGGTGGGTGGGCTGGCTGCCAGTTGCGGGGGTCGGAGGGAGAGTAGTAGGGATTCGCAGGTGGCAGGAAACTTAAATATGATTTGGCGGCTGGGAATTTGGAGGCTGGGAATTTGGCAGTTGGGAATTTGCAAATGTGTGAAGCCCGCGAAAGTTGAAAACGCGAATGTTGAGGGAGACCTGTATTAACATTTATGAGCATTTATTGCACATTTTATGTGCTCTGATAATAATACAGTGGACCCCCGGTATTCGATGGCATCGGTATTCGATAAATCCGGTATTCGATGCATTATATCGCAAAACTTTTCCTCGGTATTCTATTGAAAACCCGGTATTCGATACGATTCGTACGAGACCTGTCCATGTGTCGCCAGAACT